TATGTCTCAAAATATCCTCCCAGGAATGCCATAAACTTTACTACCAACTTGGAAACATTAGCCTCTCTAGCAGACTCATTTAAAATACCCACACTTTAGGGAGGCACTTTGGTGTGGTGTTCTCAAACTTCAGCTGCCATACAAATCTTCCGAGTTTATTAGAAATGTAAAATCCATGATGGACCAGTTGTGTATCGTGATTGTGGTGGTGGATACACAAATCTATGCACGTGATAAAACTGCATAGAGCTATACGCAGACAAATGAGTGTATATAAAACATGGAGATCTAAATAAAAACTTTATCTGACTCCTTCCCAAGACCCTGACGGCATCTGGGTCCTGGGGGATCACAAAGAGGCCAGAGAATGGCAAAGGAGTGAGGAAGCTAAATTTCGCCCGTTTTACGATGTTGCCAAACCACAAGACCTTGATTCAAAAATGTGTTTCCTTCCTAGTGACAGGAGGCATTTACAAGGCTACTTCCACACTCTGCGAGAGGCTCAATATATAACAGGATTAGGAGCACTGTCACAGAGCAGCTTCAAGCCGGACAGCCTGCGTCTATAGGAAGAATGACTCCCAAATCCCCCTAACCATTGACAGCCCTGACTTACTCACGCCCACCTTGTCTGCAGCCTGTGAAATCAGAGGCCTGTGACGGGAGGCCAGTAAAGAAGAGAAGAAATCATACCGGCTGGTCCGACACTGATTCATTACCGCCCTCACCTGGATGTAGCGTCCAGACTTAATCCCAGCCTCTAGCACCTCCAGGGGAAGATGCTCTGGGTACTCCTTCCCATGGCCCTCCTGGCTCTCGTTCTCTCTCTCCCGCCGAGACTGAAGGATGGAATCACAAAGCTCGTGGGCAGCCTTTAAATCAGGCCAAAAATTGTCCAGGTAATTCTGCGTTGGATAAAGGCACAGGGAAACGCGGTCAGGAGACAGTGACCCTTCATTGCAGCACTACTGCAAAAAGTCCTGCCGAGGGACGGCTGGCAGGCAGCTTGAGGACGTGTTAGGGGAGCATGACTTTCCCGAGCCTCACGCTACCAGTTCTCATTAATCCCTGACGCCCTACCAAATGAACCCCCGGAGGCCATCCCATCGCGGAGCACTTCCACCTTCTAGATAACTTTGCACTTGCAAATCTCTTTCTCTCCACACGCATGTCCAGGCAGCCTGTCTTTACATGTGGCCCATCGCTGCAGACAATGAGCTACGGGGAATGGAGAGGAAAAGCTCCTGTGTGTACATTCTGGTCTTTTTATACGTGATTTTAACTCTAAGTCTGAGGTAGAGTCTAGCACTTCCTCTTTTCTCAAATTGAAAAGAAAATCAGTTATCCTTATTGTCAACACAAGCATTTCTCCACTAATTTCAGGGTCCTGTTCAAATTGCTTCCTTTCTTTCCCTAGTCCTTCCAGAAATTCCATTTGTGCTAATATGAGTCCCCCAATTCTAGCGTCACTTATCAACACCAAACTTCTGTCATGATGCACCACCTCTTCAAGAGGGATTTATCGCCTTCATTCTTCTCCATCTAACTTCAAGTCCCCACAGAAAATTCTGGGCTTTCCTCTCATCTGAACGTCACAATATCTCTTTTTCTCTGCTATCATTCACCTCTAAGAGGCCCTTGGTCACACAGTTTTCTTGAGAAAAGCTATACAAAATAATACTGCACTATACCACTGGACTACAAAGAAAAGTAATTTCACAAAAAGTAGAAAAATATAATTTTAGTCAACTGTCCTCTGCAGGAACGAGACATGATATATTGCAACAGAAAAAACAAGTGACACTGCCATTAATATCCAGCACCCCTGGAATTCTCCGGCACGCCAGAACACTGTTTTATAGCAGGGCCAAGAAAATTGGCAAATCTTTAGAAACACACGCACCTGGGAACCCCTATAGAATCCACAATCTCAAATCCAACTAGACTTTCTGTAAACTGACAGGG